AGAATGAAATGGAAGTTGAATAACGAGCCTAACTTACCGATTATTATTGGTAACACAAAGTTCTAGATCTTCAATAGAGGAGGAGGTACTGTGACGCATTGGTTTACAATTACCTACAATAATATATATATTTCATTTATAATCTATCTATATCAATAGAGCTGAAAAATTTTGGCTTCTTATCAATTATGGTGATATTGGGTTTGAAAAATCTAAAAAGTCAACTTCTTCGGACAATAGAGCCCAGATATCTGGCTTAGTGGAAAGAGAATTTTTAACTTACTTTGTGTCTCTTATTTGTAATCATAACAGTGTATGCAGTGTACAATGGAGGCAGTTTTCAAGCGTATTGGAAAACATTTACTCAATTACTTAATTATGTATGAAAATATATAAAATAATTGTCATTAACTTACCTGGCAACCTTGGTGATATGATTAGATTTCGGCCATCTTCTAACGAACATCGTACAGTATCTCCAGCATGACTAGCTTGTCTCCCTGGTGATTCTGGTAGTCCCTCCCCTGGAGACATACTGTTAGATACTTTTGGTAGTGATGTAGATTTGGTCACTCTCATGGCTGTCAGTCTCTTCATACCTTCCCTAGACAATATACAGAACAAACTTATTAAGACAGAAGTGAAGAGAATGCCTAGCTATTAGGGGGGTGAGAGCTGACACCAGACCAACTCTCGAAACCACCGGCACAGGCATCTAAATTTTTCTTACCTTGAGGAGAAAAATTTTTTACTGTTGATCATTTGATTGGTCAAACACTACTATTGATTTTAGTTTTCCAGTCTTCTCATTGGTCATTGGTTTATTTTTTCAGCCAATCAGATTGCTATATTTTTCAAAAATTTTTCTGGTTGTAACTAACTGTAGTCATTTTGGCAAAATGAACCAAAATAAGCCTTGAAAATTCACGGATAAACACAAAAGAGTTTTTCTAAATTTTGTTTTTGTATCAGGAATATTGATATCATCAATTAGCACCATTCCAATTTTCACTCAGACATCTGTGGTTCCTGTAGTTCCACTAAAACTAAGTGTTTGATGACTCACAAATCTCAAAGGGCCTTAAGTGATAAAGCATATTTTGCAATTAGTGACGTCATCAAACACTTATTCTTAATGGAATTGCAGGAACCACAGACGTCTGATTGAAAATTAGAATCCATTCAAATAAAAAAAAAAAACCATGGAAATAAAATCCTTACTTGACATTAGGCATGTGTGTAAATGTTCCATTTTCTAAATCTTTTAACATCTGTTCTTCAGCTCTCCTGGCTTTATCAGAATTACTAACAGTTGTTACTGATCTCGATACTGTAGGTCCTAACAACAAATAATAATAAATATATCAGATTATCAGAATTACTAACAGTTGTTACTGATCTCGATACTGTAGGTCCTAACAACAAATAATAATAAATATATCAGATTATCAGAATTACTAACAGTTGTTACTGATCTCGATACTGTAGGTCCTAACAACAAATAATAATAAATATATCAGATTATCAGAATTACTAACAGTTGTTACTGATCTCGATACTGTAGGTCCTAACAACAAATAATAATAAATATATCAGATTATCAGAATTACTAACAGTTGTTACTGGTCTCGATACTGTAGGTCCTAACAACAAATAATAATAAATATATCAGATTATCAGAATTACTAACAGTTGTTACTGATCTCGATACTGTAGGTCCTAACAACAAATAATAATAAATATATCAGATTATCAGAATTACTAACAGTTGTTACTGATCTCGATACTGTAGGTCCTAACAACAAATAATAATAAATATATCAGATTATCAGAATTACTAACAGTTGTTACTGATCTCGATACTGTAGGTCCTAACAACAAATAATAATAAATATATCAGATTATCAGAATTACTAACAGTTGTTACTGATCTCAATACTGTAGGTCCTAACAACAAATAATAATAAATATATCAGATTATCAGAATTACTAACAGTTGTTACTGATCTCGATACTGTAGGTCCTAACAACAAATAATAATAAATATATCAGATTATCAGAATTACTAACAGTTGTTACTGATCTCGATACTGTAGGTCCTAACAACAAATAATAATAAATATATCAGATTATCAGAATTACTAACAGTTGTTACTGATCTCGATACTGTAGGTCCTAACAACAAATAATAATAAATATATCAGATTATCAGAATTACTAACAGTTGTTACTGATCTCGATACTGTAGGTCCTAACAACAAATAATAATAAATATATCAGATTATCAGAATTACTAACAGTTGTTACTGATCTCGATACTGTAGGTCCTAACAACAAATAATAATAAATATATCAGATTATCAGAATTACTAACAGTTGTTACTGATCTCGATACTGTAGGTCCTAACAACAAATAATAATAAATATATCAGATTATCAGAATTACTAACAGTTGTTACTGATCTCGATACTGTAGGTCCTAACAACAAATAATAATAAATATATCAGATTATCAGAATTACTAACAGTTGTTACTGATCTCGATACTGTAGGTCCTAACAACAAATAATAATAAATATATCAGATTATCAGAATTACTAACAGTTGTTACTGATCTCGATACTGTAGGTCCTAACAACAAATAATAATAAATATATCAGATTATCAGAATTACTAACAGTTGTTACTGATCTCGATACTGTAGGTCCTAACAACAAATAATAATAAATATATCAGATTATCAGAATTACTAACAGTTGTTACTGATCTCGATACTGTAGGTCCTAACAACAAATAATAATAAATATATCAGATTATCAGAATTACTAACAGTTGTTACTGATCTCGATACTGTAGGTCCTAACAACAAATAATAATAAATATATCAGATTATCAGAATTACTAACAGTTGTTACTGATCTCGATACTGTAGGTCCTAACAACAAATAATAATAATATATCAGATTATCAGAATTACTAACAGTTGTTACTGGTCTCGATACTGTAGGTCCTAACAACAAATAATAA